TGTGTGTGTGTTTGAAAGTAATTTAACACCTATACTTTTGTTGTTGTTTTTGTTAATATTGGTGCAACAATTCTTTTGTTACACTCCACATATGTATTTACAAATTAATAAATAAATTGGCGTAAGTAAATAAACACTAAAATGTAAAATAAAGTGAAAATGAACTAGACGCAGTGAAATAAAAAACCGTATTGTATCGAATTGCATTTAGTCTGTCGGTACGCTTATATGTATGCGAGGAATACGTGCAATTGCATAAAGGTTTGCATTTTCTTCATTTCGAAAGCAACACTGATAACACTGTGCTACAATAGCACTTTCAACTGCGATTTTTGTAAAATGAAACTAAAGCTTTGTAAAGTTTTTTTTTTAAAACAAGTCGTATATAAAATTATATCAATTTCTCAGAAAAGTAATGGGTATATTTGTCTCAAACATATGGTAATATGAAATCTTTATTTTCCCACTTAAAGGCTTTTTTAAACAATATTTTTTCAAAACCAAAAAAAAAAAATCTTCTCCTTCATCAATATATATTTAGCCACGACTTTGTCGCACAGTGTAGTAAAATTTAACGTGAATTCGAGTGGAGGTTGATGTCTTTAAAACGAAATGCAAAAAAAAAAAAGCAACAACAACTACAACAAGAGTTGTCGAACACAGAAATATGACAAATTTGCAAAACAAAACTCAATTATGTTAATTTGAGTAGAGTACTTCCATTGACAATGATGAAATAGTCGAATAAGCAGTTCAAGGACGCTATTGCAACGGTTGGATATATGTGAGCACATTACACAAAAATAAGACAAGTAAAAAAGCTGTAAGTTCGGCCGGGTCGAACTTTGAATACTATTTGGAACGAATTTGACAATTAAAAAAAAAAAAAAAAAAAAAAAAAAAAAAAAAATAATAATAATAATAATAATAATAATAATAATAATAATAATAATAATAATAATAATAATAATAATAATAATAATAATAATAATAATAATAATAATAATAATAATAATAATAATAATAATAATAATAATAATAATAATAATAATAATAATAATAATAATAATAATAATAATAATAATAATAATAATAATAAATACATAAAATCTTAAAAATGCCGAATGTTACCGTTATATTAGGGTCTATACGACGACGTGGACCTGCATAAGCAACTTTTGTCATAAGCCATTACAATATTCAAATGCGAAACTTGAAAAAAATCGGTGAATAATCAAAATACCGAAACAAAGGGAGGTACTACTGTATGGGGACTATACCAAAACTTGGACCTGCACCGACAATTTTCTTTCATAGGCTGTAGTATCCTTTACGAACTTTAAATACCTAATTTGAAACAATTCCGGTGAATAATGTCGCTCAAGTCATCAAAATACCGAATATCGGGAGGTGCCGTTATATGGGGGCTACACGAATACGTGGATCTGTGCAGACAATTGTCTGTCTTTAGGCTGTAGTATCCATTACGAACTTCAAGTACCAAATTTGAAACAATTTCGGATAATAATATCGCTAAAATCATCAAAATACCGAATATCGGGAGGTGCAGTTATATGGGGGCTACACGAATACGTGGACCTGTGCATTACGAACTTCAAATACCAAATTTGAAACAATTCCGGTGTATAATGTCGCTTACATCACTAAAATATGAAAATAGATAGGTACCATTATAAGGGGCTATACAAAAACGTGGACCTACATGGCCCATTTTCAATACCAAAAGTCCTGCAGACATTTGAGTAAATACATGCATATATTTGATTAAACTTTTATCAACCTACTTCATTGCGTTCGGAAGCTAGAGTGATTTCCACAGAACAAGAATATGTATACTCTGTGGCTTTTTCGAGGTGTTACAAACGGAATGACAAACTTAATATACCCTCCATACTATGGTGGAGGATATAAAAATCCTGAAGGCAATAAAATAAATTTGTACATATTTTTAACTCTTTTTGATGCATTTAATTTCGCTGAAAAAAAACTCTCCACAACAGATATTTTCATCCATCACTAAACTGCATTCGCCATTAAGTCTTTACTCTCTTTTTTCGTGACATTAAAATTAAAGAATACGTTTTCAATTAAATGTAAAATAATTTCCATTTGAACAATTTATATTTGTAACACGACAATTACGTGATTTATTATCCCATATTTGTTGCTGCAATGAAATGTACAAAGCGCATTCATTTCATGCTTTACTTTACAAATTATAATTTCATAATTATGCGTATATGTCTGAACGAACGAACGAACGCAGTGTGCCGACATTTCGACATTCAGACGTAGTTTGTATTGAAATGAAAATCACTGAAATGTTATTAAATCAAATGTAAATAATTGACTTTTTAACCAAATGAGGAAACATAATTAATATGAGGATACTCAATTGAAGAGCAGCGACGGCCGCGGCGACAACGGCAATAAAAACGATTATAAAGCAAATTAAAGTGTGACAAGAGCAATAACAACATCTGCAGCAGCAGCAGCGAGATGACAACAGTCATGAATTCATGTAAATATTAATTGGATTTTAATGCTTTGTTTGGGTCAAACAATGCAAAAATAATTCGTGAAAAAATGTGAGTAAAAACATCTGTCATTGCGGAAAAATATATCTGGGAAGGGAATGCTTGTGGAGATGAGGCAAAAATTAACCTTTTAGTTGAAATGTGTGTGGAACTAGCCTTGGGGAAAAGGCCAGATGGAAGACGAGTTGGTCTTCTCATACAGCGACAAAGGTCTCCCAAAGCAGAACGGTTGATTTTCTAACAGAAGATAAGTTAGAAGAAGGCCAATTGGAGACCAGACGGTCTCCAAAAGAAGTCTCCAATAAATGACCTGGTGACCTTCCCACAGAAGATCAGTGACCTTCTGAAAAAAGACCAATTGAATTTCCTTAGAAAACTAGTAGAAGATCAGTTGGTGTAGTTATAGAGGCCTAGTTGATCTTCTTACAAAAGACTAGTTGGTCTTCTAGGTCTTCTATAGAAAACCACAAGGTATCCTATAGAAAACTACAAGGTCTCCTCATAGAAGAGCTTTTAGTCTTATAATACAGCGACAAATGTTTCCCACAGAATAATGTTGTTTTCTTATGGAACACAAGTAAAAAATTGTAAGTTCTGTCGGGCCTAACTTTTAATACCTCCACCATTCGGAACAAATTTGGCAATTTTCAAAAAAATAAAATCCGTCAAAAATTCTGTTAAAATCTTAAAAATGCCGAATGTAGCCGTTATATTAGGGTCTATACGACGACGTGGACCTGCATGGGCAACATTTGTCATAAGCCATTACAATATTGGAATGCGAAACATGAAAAAGTTGGTGAATAATGTCGCTAAAATCATCAAAATACGAAATATCGGGAGGTACCGGTTTATGGGGGCTGTACGAAGACGTGTACCTGCACAGACAATTTTCTGTCATAATCTGTAGTTCCCATTACCATCTTCAAATACCATCGAAAATAGGGAGGAAACGTTATATAGGGGCTATACGAAGACGTGGACCTGCATAGGCAACTTTTGTCATAAGCCATTACAATATTCAAATGCGAAACTTGAAAAAAAAATCGGTGAATAATCATCAAAATACTAAATAAAGGGAGGTACTATTTTATGGGGGGGGGGGTGTGTGGGGCTATACCAAAACTTGGATCTGCACAGACAATTTTCTGTCATAGGCTGTAGTATCCATTACGAACTTCAAATACCTAATTTGAAACAATTCCGGTGAATAATTTCGCCTAACTCATCAAAATACCGAATATCGGGAGGTACCGTTATATGGGGGCTAGACCTAAACGTTAACTTTCATGTCTAATTTTAAATACAAAAAGTTCTGCAGACATAATATACATTTGAGTAAAATTTTATCAACCTACTTCATTTCGTTCGGAAACTACAGTGATTTCCACATACGGATATACGGTGATCTTTCCAGGTGATCCAGGTGATCTTTCCATAGAAGATCAGTTGGCCTTCTCATAGAGGACTAGTTAGACTTTTAATAAAATACTGGTCGGTTTTCTCACAGAAGACCAGTTTATCCTATAGAATATCACAAGGTCTCCTATTGAAGATTACAAATGCACCTATAGAAGTTGGTCTCCTATAGAAGACCACAAAGTCTCCCATAGAAGACCACAAGGTCTCCAATAGAACACTACAAGGTCTGCCATAGAAGACCACAAGGTCTTCCATAGAAGACCACAAGGTCTTCCATAGAAGACCACAAGGTCTTCCATAGAAGACCACAAGGTCTTCCATAGAAGACCACAAGGTCTTCCATAGAAGACCACAAGGTCTTCCATAGAAGACCACAAGGTATCCTATAGAAGACCACAAGGTCTCCTATAGAAGACCACAGAAGATCATAAGGTCTCCTAAAGAAGATCACAAGATCTACTATGGAAGCCTAAAAGGTCTCCTATAGAAGACTACGAGGACTTCTAATAAAAACAATAAGTGTCTTTTATGGAAAACCACAAGGTTTTCTATGAAATATCACAAGGTTTCCTTGGGGGTAAAAGGTCTCCTGTATAGGACCACAAAGTCTCCTTTCCAAGACCACAAGGTCTCCAAATCTCTACTCTTTCTCTTTTCTGTACTTAGCCTTTTTTGAAATTTAATTTTCTTACATAACAATATTATTAAGCTATTATAACTATTTTAATCGCATTGATTAAAGTTTCATCTGATTAAAGATAGAGAAAAAAAAAAACAAACCATTGTCAAAAGGGATGTCGAGAATAATAAACAAAAAACCTTATTTGTTTATTATTATTATTATTATTATTGCCTAGATAATGGCTTGCGCGTGCCCAAACTTTATTGTTACTTTTTTTTTGGTTTTTGTACTGAGTTGAATTTCATTATTTTACAACATTTAATTATAATCATAATAGTGAAATAACAATTTCTACCTTATAATTAATAACCGTTTTTTATTGGTCTTTTTTATTACAGCTCTAAAAAACTCAAACTGCAATTACAGCGCAAACTATTCTAAGGTGAAATCCCAATATCCCAACAACAGATTGTACAAAAAGTAAAAAAAAAACAGAAATTACAAAAAACCACCACCTCCCCCCAAGCAATAATATGCCAAAGAGACAGACATTCTCGGTGTAAATGGAAAACAGTGAACAACAGCAACAAAAATTGTTACAACAGAAATTAAAATTACAAAAAAAGTGCAACAACAATAAAAATTAAATTTTAATTAACGCATGTGCCGCACAAAACAAAAAACCTGTAATTAACTGAGAATACAACAACAATAGCAAAGATCTACTACCGAAAAGAAAAGACCAACAACCAATCATCAACTGCAGCTGCAACAACAAAATTGAAAGTGATTGAAATTTGCCAACAGCAATCCATTCACAAATTAAAAAGGTAACATTTCAATTTTGCAAAATTTTATATTGAACACACAAACGCACGCACGCACACACGCACTCACACACTTCATCTGCGACCTGTAATATTACATTTCAATAACCATAATGCGATTACGATGTGTTTGAGCGAGCATTGCTTGTAACTCGACATCAATACATGTTGTAATACAAAAATGAAATGCAAAAATCTGATTGATGTCTGGCTGAACAGTGGCGGGCAAAAGTTTCTGTGTATAACTTGGCTACAAAAAAAATTAGGTGTCGCATGTAACATGGATCCAGGGCAAGGGATTTTTTTTAAAATTAAAAAATATAGTATTTATTTTGAAGAGCAACGAATCAAGTACTTCTATTCAGTTGATCGATTAGAAAGCGAAAGAGCATTTATATTCATTGACAAAAGTTTCGAATAATTAAGTAGTAAAGAAATATCAAAAGTCGGTGAGGTATATCTATCTCTGAATCGATTTCCAACATATTGACTGAGGCATTTGTACCTCTCACACAAAATAGCATTGCTATAGAGGGTATGATATGACTTCTAGAAGGGCTATATTAAAGAATATACAGGGTATGATAAAAAAACTGCAACAAAGTCAAACGCCATAATTTTTACATTTTTTTTAATTATATTGAATGAATGCAAAAATATCAGAAATTGCATCAAATTTTAGAATAAGTTTAGATTTGTTCCAATTGTTTACCTTTGGCACGAACTATGACCTCCTAATCGGATGAAACATTTGTATGGGAGCAATAGCTATATCTGAACCAATTTTCACCAAATTTGAAGTAATTGCTTCTAGACTGAATTCGGCTGGAAGTACCAAAATTCAGGTCACTTGGACTGATATTGGTCATTTGTCCCACAAATATTGAAAAATGAGCTCGAAGTAAAACCAAAAAGTGCAAGAACTTTCACCGCAACAGAAAGAAAATAGACTCAAAAGAGCTAAAGAGTTGCTTAGCTTCGCCGATAGTGGTGATCTGCCGAATTTGGTGTTCACCGATGAGAAAACATTCGTTGTCCAGCAGTTTGTAAACAAAAAAATGATTGTGTTTTCTTGCCAAAGTGGTCAGCTGAAAATGTACACCTTCGGTTGGCCACCAGAATTCAAGCACCGGCCATGGTGATGGTGTGGGCCGCCATAACAGCCGATGGTCGCCTCTGCTCGTAATAATCGATCGTGGCATCAGAATAAAAGCCGAATATTATAGCGAAAATAGTCTGGAGGGTGTATTAAAGCCTTGGGCACGCAAACATTTCGGCCGCAGACCTTGGACATTTCAACAGGACTCGGCACCATCGCACTCAGCATGCGCCACCCAAAAATGGTTATAAAATGAGGTTCCTCGCTTCGTTTTCAGCACACAATGGCTACCAAAATCTCCGGATACCAATCCGTTGGACTATTGTGTCTGGAGTATTTTGGGAAGCAAGATTGGCACTAAAAATACCAACGTGTCGATCACCTCAAACAAGCGCTTCGCCGGAAATGGACCAAAATACTGCAGAGCAACATTCGGGCAGCGTTTGGCGGTTTCATTGGCCGTTTGAAGGCCATAATTCGTGCCAAAGATGACCAATTCGAACAAATCTAAACTTAGTCTACAATTGGATGCTGTTTCCGACATTTTTTGCTTTCAATCAATAACATTTAAAAAACCAGTAAAAAAGCATTTAGACCGAATTTGAAAATTTTCGAAAAAGATAACATTCGCCAAAAATTATGTTAACATTTTAAAAATACCGATTACAGCCGTTATTTTAGTGCCTGTACGACGTACACCTACATAGGCATTGTTTGTCAAAGCCATTACCATATTCAAATTCGAAACTTGAAATAAACGGTGAATAATGTAACCAAAAGCATCAAAATATCGTACATAGGGAGGTAGCGTTACATAGGAGCTATACGAAGACCTGGACGTGCATAGAAAATTTTTTATCACAGGCTGTAGCTTCCATTACGAACTTCAAATACGACATCTCAAACAATTTCGGTGAGTATTGTACCTAAAATCAAAGTACCGAATATAAAGAGGTACTGATATATGGGTCCTATACGAAGACCTAGACCTGCATAGGCAATTTTCTGTCACGGACTGTAGATCCCATTACGAACTCTAAATACGTAATTTGAAACTACTACGGTGAATAATGACGCTAAAATCTTCAAAATACCGAATATTGGGAGGTACCGTTGTATGGGGGCTATACGAAGACGTGGACCTGTATAGACAATTTTCTGCCTTAGGCTGTAGTATCCATTTTGAACTTCAAACACCAAATTTGAAACAATTCCGGTGAATAATGTTGCTGAAATCATCAAAATACTGAATATAGGGAGGTACCGTTATATGTGGGCTATAAGAAAACGTGGACCTACATGGCCCATTTACGAACTTAGTCTGCCTACTTTCAAAATAGACATGTGTGCAAAATTTTAGCCTTCTATTTCAATTTGTTCGAAAAATAGCGTGATTACAACAGACGGACAGACACACAGACGGACATGGCTAAATCGTCTTAGAATTTTACGCTGATCAAGAATATATATACTTTGTTGGGTCTAAGATCATTATTTCGATGAGTTACAAACGGAATGACAAAATTAATATACCCTCCATAGTATGGTGGAGGGTGTAAAAATGTAAAAATTATGGCGTTTGACTTTGTTGCAGTTTTTTTTATCTCACCCTGTATATTCAACACGTGATAACATGTTACATAGTTGCCCTCTGTTTCTCGTATCTCTCTTGCAAAAGCTTGAAATTTTGAAGACCAATAATTCTCAAATAAGGTGTTACTCTATTCCGTAATAACCATAAATTTCATGAATATTTGTTCTTTCAGATTTAGTTTTAAAATGTAATATATGAGTCCAAAATTGTTGGTAAGTCGCCTTCAAAAAGGACATAAATTTATTTGTCAAATGTTGAAGACATTGACATCGAACGTTGTTCACCTTCAATTCTCATATTTTTGGAATTTATCGTACTTCCAAAAATTTTCTTTTTTTATTTTTAGTGAACAACTTTTTTTGGAATTCGACACATTTCGCACAAAATCGTTTTATCTTTAAAAAACAACTTATTTTCCCAAATTTAAAAAAAAAATCCGTTTAAATCCAAAGCCTCTGTAGGCTAATTTAAAAAAATATATCGTTTCTATCTACAACAATTTAAATAACAATATTGTTATGTAGAACATTTATTGGCCTTAAGGTTAAACTGAACGAAACTTATTTCAAGTAGCAAGTGCAATTTTATGTAAAGTAATAGGCAACGAAAAAAAAAGTATAAACAACAAAAAGAAAAAAGTACTACCCAAATCCATAAGCAATAAGGCGGGAATCTCGTTACATAAAAATAATATTGAATGTCAGTCAAAGTGTAGTAAAAAAAAAAAAAAAAAAAATTAAAAAATGCCGACACTTCGTTTGGTGCGTGTGCTGCTGTACTATGTGGGCATGGGGGCTGGAGCTGGTTGCCTATTCGTGTTATCTTTAACGGAACGATTGTTGCAAAAACAGAAAACGCCGCTTAGTTGTCAACCAGTTTTCGAAAGTGAACTCAGCTAGATTTTTCCTTTTCTTCAATACGATAGACGATCCAAGTAACAACATCACCACCAATACTTACCCCCACTCGCTTTGCAACGCCTTATATCTGTCATGGTTGTTGTTGTTGTTCTTGTTGTTTTCTATGAGTAATTTGCAAAACTGTAACAGTGAACAAAAATATTACAAAATGAAAAAAAAAGAAAATATTAACGATTTTTTTTCGCGCAAAATCACTTTAGCTATAGCTTTTCACAGAAAACAGAAATAATGACAATTCTATTCGCTTTTTGCGCACAACGACGACGACTTATGTTCGACTCGGATTAGGTCCGAGCGTACACATTTAAATGAAAATATTGAAAATGCTTCAAAATTGAATGGCGCTGCAGTGGATTATTTGCCTGCAAACGAGAGAGATAAACATTTTTGCAATTTATTTTTATGAACTTGTCTATCGCACAACAATTACATGTTGTACATTTACTTATTGTACAATTGCTGTGCCAGAGAACATAAATTGCGAAAGCAACAAGCAAAAAAAAAAAAAAAGAACACGCGAATGAAAAGAAAAATGTAAAACACGAAAAGTTATTAACCAATATTTGCTATTTGGGTTTATGGGCAATTAAAACAAAAAAATTAATTGAGACATTTTTCAGATCACCTTGGCTGCTCAATGGTGTTTTAAGTTGCACTTATTATAGTAGATGTAAGATAATGCTCGTGGATCTCAGAGCTCTAGAAGACCTTGATATTTTCTGTGGGCTCCAGACGACCTTGAAGTCTTCTATAGACTCTAAATATCTTCTATGGGATTTAGAGTCTCTAGAATAACTTGTGGTCTTCTTTGGTCACTAGAAGTTCTTGAGGTCTTCAATAATCTCTGGAGGAGATCTTCTATAGTCTTGGGGTCTTCTCAGGTCTCTAAAAAATCTTATAATCGTCTATGATCTCTAGAAAAACTTGAGGTTTTCTATGGTCTCTAGAAGACCTGGAGGTCTTCTAAAGACCTTTAGTTTTTAGAAGAACTTGAAGTGGCCTATAGAGGCATTATATGGTCCTTGAGGTCTTCTATGATCTCTGGAAGACCTAGAGACATTATATGGTCTCTACAAGTCCCAGAAGTAGTCTATGGTCTCTGGAAGATCTAGAGGTATTCTATGTTATATTAAGATTTGTATGTTCTCTATGCTCTCTAGGAAAAATAGAGGTTTTATGTCGTCTCTAGAAGATCTTGAGGTCTTCTATGATCTCGGGAAGACTTAGTGGCATTATATGGTCTCTACAAGTCCTAGAGATATTGTATGGTCTCTGGAAAATCTTGAGGTCTTCTATGGTATATTAAGACTTTTTTGTTCTCTATGCTCTTTAGGTGAAATAGAGCTTTTACGTGGTCTCTGGAGGACATTCAGGTCTGCTATACACTCTG